GTCGTTTAACGATAGTCCGCGACCACTACGCGCAGACGCATCGAATACTACCCGTATTTTTTGAGCATCAATCTCGGGCCTATATATAGCATGATGCGGAATGATATACGCCCCCGGGGAAGTGGCAACAGACATATGCCCTAACGAAAGGTAGTCAGACATGAATTTATCATACAACACCTTTAACGACGGATTTGCGGCCAATTTGCGTTCGAGAGCGTCAAAGCGCCGAAGTGCCACCGCGCGGGACCCGCGAAATGCATCTTCCGACGCCGGTGACTGAAAAGGCAGCGGAACGGAAAAACGTCCGGACGACAAACGTACAACCTCGTCCTTAAATATTTGTTCGCACTTCCCGTCACTCGAGAACATCCTCGACATGCCAGAACCGCTCCATGAGCCCTTCGATAGAAACAGTCATTGAGACAAGTGCCGACTGATACGCGCTGGCCTCCGGCTCGGCCACGGCGCCAATTAATATCCAACCAAAAATCGAACTATACGCGGATGGTAACGCGCTATCAACGGTATATTTACGTCCATCCATGATTGACGCATAGACGTCACTACCTAGTAATATATCGATCGGCGACGCAACGTAGAAAGACGGGTCGGCTAATGCCAGATTGGAAAACCGGTTTTTGATATCCGCGGATAACGACCTGCTAGGCAGATTGCCTGTTATAGTAGGTAGCACCCATGCATGTACTGATAATACAGGCTCGGTCGCGTACCGCGGTTGTATTGTACACTCGACACGACCGTGAACATTGACGGGTACACCAGACAGGCCGCTTATCGGGGCGGTCCAACGCGAGCGCTTTAATCCTAACCGCTCGGCGCACGCATCTGTAATAGCGCTAATTTGTGACGCGCAATCTATTAACGCGCGCATGGTTTGCCACGACCCGCTTCGATCGCGCACGTGGACGAGCGCAGTACCTAACATGACAGTTGCGGGGCGGAGGGGATGCGATTGTGAAGCTGACGCGCACATAACTTGGGCGGGTTGCGAGTGGTCATTAGCATATCGTTCGCCGGTGGGTATGTGTAATAGCGAATGGTGTTTCCGCGAACAATCCTTACAACCCGGTTTATTTTTACATTTTGGAGCCCAGTGCTTGGGACTAAAACAATTTAAGCACATTTTGTGTTCCCGCGTCCACTTGATCCGTTCATCTACCTCCCAAGCCTTAAAACGGGTACATGAAACCAACTCATGGGCCCCAGTACAGCATGGACAGGTATTTTCATTTTTGGTTGTTACCATGGACGTCAACCGAGAACCCTGTGACTTCCCGGAGTACTCTCCCCCCTTTCGGATTGGACCTGGTGTTCTATTAATTTTGACCGGCGCTGACAAGGCTGCCTTGTTAGGTAACTCCCCGACAACCTCTAATATCGCTACGCGCGTTCGTACGAACTCTAATAATTGAGTTAAAGACGGAAAATCGGCCGCACTGTTCGCTTCAAATAATTGACGGGTCGACATCGGTAAACATCTGAATGCGATCGAAAATAAAATAAATGATCCTAAGTCCGGAATTTTAAACGCCTCCAGCAATGAGTTACCCTCATTGAACGTGCCCACAAATTTGTTGAGATCACGGAGCGATTCGTGTGTTATCGTCGATGCATGTAATAAATTGTCGACGAGCGACGTGGCTACTAAACGCGGTCGATTAAAACGGCTAGACAGCGTAGACCACATTAAAACATAATTATCCGCGGAAACCGGTATGCCTTGCACCGCCTCCGCCGCGGAACCTTTCAAACAGCCTATCAAATAATACATTTTGTCAATGTTAGACAACTTAGGACGATTGTTCACTGCCGCCGTAAATCGGTCACGAAAAGTGGGCCAAGCTTGGAAGTCACCGTCGAAGGTGGGTAAAGGGATTTCGGGTAGACGCGAAAACGTATTACTGGTATCATCGGACGCTATAGTGTGAGAAGGTAAATTCTCTCGTAAATAAGAGAGGTCAAGGGCCTCCACCCCCTTAGGTATTAACGAATTGGCCACAGCTTTAGAGTCGGTGATAAGCCGGCGCACCTCAGCTATCGCATCAGGCGAGTACTCATCGAGCTTATCTAACATAACTAAATAATCTAATACACCATCATCTTCGGTCTTAAATTGAGTCCATAGTGCATCTAGATCGGCCGCGCTAACAGAAAAGGAGGAGCCTATATTTGGTTCACTTGCTACTCGCACGCCTAAATCATGTATAGATCGAATTTGCGCGATAACGCTGGTGCGCTTGACCTTCGCACGTGCCAATAATCGGTTGACGCGCTCTACTTCTTGCTTAGCTTCGTCCCCCATATCGACAGGTAAAACCACTAAACTTTATCTCGCACGCACTATTTTTACCTTATAGTCTCGTCCGGCGTAACTACACAATCGCTCGCACCAACCAACCAATATATCAAAAAAAAAAAAGGAACTTACTTAAAATACCCAAAACACCAATGTCACAACACACACGCTCCGAACCCCCCTAAAGGTCGGAAACCACGCTCTGCTACCAAATGTTTTCGCCGTTACCGATCCTACAATGGTCGGTGGTTGTCGGCAACGACTCGCGTGTTATATTGTAGACAGGAGCGGAATGGGTTACCCAAATATATAATAAATTGATAAATAACAAATGTTTATCATTAATAAATTATAGGTGTATACTGTATATAACACCCACCAAAATATATATATTACAATAAACCCAAAAAACAAAACTAAATATTCATAATTTCAATTATAATGTACCTAGCACAGGGCGCCCCGGGAAATAATTAACAATATATATACTCGTATATCTAAATAATAATTAATAATAATAATATCACGTAATATAGTATAAAACAAAAAGGCAAGTAAATTGGTAGGTATACAATCAATACATATAGATATATACAAAAGACGACCTGGTTCGAAGTAATTTGTTAGGCGATGCCCGGGATCCCTGGTGCGACGTAAGTTGTCAGGCGATGCACAGAATCCTTCGTCCTCGAAATATGGCGCGATGACACAATGACTCGGGTAACGCACATTCGTACCGACAAAATCGTCGAATATAATATTATTGACCACAACTCAAGATTGGGTGCGGCGGCCCACAATAGCACGCAATAACGGTGGGCGGACAGAGACGTGTGTCGTGCCCAACCGTTGGGAAAAGACAAAAAAAAGGTGTCGCTTGTCGTACAACCGTCTGTCTAGCGGCGTAACTATCGCCAGACGACCTGTCGCCGGATGACACTGGAGGGGGAACGTGCTGAGCGCATTTATCTCCGCTGCACGTGGCGTCCGAAGCGAGTAAATACATATATATATATATATCGACATTCAAAATTGTTCCGCGCTCGAACACTTATTATCTATAGCCACAATAATAGTATTAAGATAATAAACGTCATGGCCATATAAAGTCATATAGATAAGTATAAATATTTGTATAGTAAAATGATCGTAAGCTATACCATTCATGCCGATTTGCGACAGTGCAAACCGTCCAAGGTGAAAGTAGGTACTATAATGCAGTTAATGAAAACCAGCTAGGTACTGGCTACTGCTGTTGACTGTTGTACGATCTGTCGATCATAGGCGGAAATCCATTAAAATTTCAGGGGAGGCTAATATTATTAACATCAATGTGAGCGGAGTGGCTTCGATCCTACAAAACTAAAAAATGAGGGGGCTTGACGGAGTTGGGGGGGCTTAGCCCCCTCAACCCCCCTACATGTCGATATTCACTTGTAATAATAATCACAAAAATAACACACAATAATATTATAGGTAATATTAAGAGATAAGTACCTCGTTAAGAATAAAGAATATTATCAATTACCTTGTATTTATATAAGTTGTTTTCACTTTTCAATAGGTACATTATTATACATAAAAATTTGTTAGATATTTTATTCATTTCAGCAGGATGTATTTAATATTATATCTGGCCAGTGGTCATATATAATAAAATATTAGTATATTATGAATTATCTCTATTTTTTTTATAGTGAAAACAATCCAAATCAAATTAAATTAGGTTTTTATCCCCCCTTCCATTTTTAAAAACTTTGGCTACACCACTCATAGAGTATTTACTCTATGACTCTACTGCACCCAGATAAATATTTCCAATACATATATAATAGGTACTGATATACAAATATAGACAATCTTGAAAAAGATACTTTTTAATTTTTTGAAAAGCATTTAAAATGTTGAAGTATTTGAATACTCGGTATAAAAAGTATTTGAATTCAAATACAGGTATTTTTATTTATAGATATACCTAGGCATTTTCAAATTGTTTATACAGACAATTTGATTTGCTTTAAAAACCAAGTGAACCATTTTTAGAATTTTCACGTATTACATTATATTAATTTTATAGATAATTTTACACCAATTTTTTTTTTAATTTTACTTGATTCAATTGAAATAATAAAATATAGAAAAGAAAAAAAGAAAAAGTTTATCATTGTTTAAAATAATAAATAAACAGGTACTTTGAAAGAAGTATTTAAAATACAATATGCAAGTACTTTTTTTAAAAGTACCTATTTGAATACTTTTAAGTTTTGTCTTTTACTCAAGTAGGTACTATAGAAGACTGTAAATAGAGTGTAATGTGTATGTCTAATTGCGTGACATAGGGTTGTGACTTGTACGCGATTATATTTCGTCGTCTGTTGAGGATGCACTGTAGCTGCCCATGATTGGAACAAATTACTATCGGAAATACTCAGGGCAGTGATAAACATGATAAAGAATTCAATAATAATATTATTTTCAATTACCAAAAGTACATTTTATTGTGGCTTTCAAATGATTTTAATGGACTATTATACGACTCAATAATTGTATAGGCGTGGTTGCACAATTAATGTTTGTTGAACGACGATCGTATATGGTCGTATATAGTCTATTATAGTCAAATGTGTACTTGGCAGAAATGTACTTATAGTGATTTTACAAAGTAAACTGAGCCAGTGTGATGGCAGAGTGTCCGATAGCCCAGATCAACGAAGACGATGAAGACACCCAAGATCGAGTCAGAATTGAACTGCAAGGGTACCTGAATAAGTGGACCAACTTCTTACACGGCTGGCAAAAGCGCTATTTCGTACTGAAGAACGGCACCTTATTGTACTTCAAATCTCAATCTGAAACCGAGTGTGGATGCCGCGGTGCAATAAGTCTTCTGAAAGCAACTGTCAAGGTATGATAATTGATAAGGAATAGTGTTTAGATTTATAATTTCTATTTATTAATTATACAGTAGTTTAATTTTTTAGGTGCACGAAGTAGACGATTGCCGTTTTGATGTGTCGCTAAACGATTGTGCTTGGTATTTGCGAGCTGACTCGTCAGCAACTAAAAATCATTGGATAGATGTCATAGATTCGCTTAAAGCTGAATCTGGGTACGGCAGTGAAAATAATCTGAAGCGCAATGGCAGTTCACTTTCTATATTATCCAGTAATATGTCGACCATGTCACCTGTGTTTAAGAAAAATAAAGGCTTGCAAGATAAACTCAATGAACTTGTAGCATTTAGGGGTATTTTAATCAACCAAATTGACCGACTTCAAATGTATTTCGATACATGTTTAGCAGAATTTGCCTCTTCGAATGGTAAATATTTTATTTAGGTACAATTTTTCTATGGAAAATGTTAATGCCTATAATACTTAAAAGAATTTTAGATTAAGTACCAAAACAAATTTTCTTATGCCTATCTGCTATAATGTTATTAAGTATTAAGTAAGAAAGATAGGTAATTTACTTAACTGCCTAAACAAAATTTAAACTAACTAGTCAGGTTGGTTAGACCTTGTTATAATGTTGTCTTACGTTGAGGTGAATAAGTTTGAACAATATAAAGTAAATAGAAATTATAATTTAAGTTAAAGTATAAAAAAGTTATGATTCTTTTAATAAGGTAATTCATAAGTTTCCTACCTAGGTACATTTTTCTATGCAATTTTATGTTACTGAATAAAAAAATATAAGGTAAGATAGGCAGTTATCAGTTGTCAATATTATGGACAGGAGGTATTTGTTTCAAGAAAGGGTTTTGGATTTTAATAAATTAAATAGCTGGTAAATTATTATAAAGTTTATCAAGTTATTTATCTATATTACCCATAACCAATGTTTAATAAAATGTGCGTTACTTACATTGTTCTTATGCTAATTACATATTTACTATCAGACTACTTATAGACTATTTCTTAACTTATAGATTCTGTATAATGTTGAGCATTTGGTAATCCACTGACTGTAAAATAGTCCGCGTCAAGCGAACTGGAGAGGTATTCTGTAGTTGGTACCTTAAATTAATTGGGCGCGTTATGGTTTTTGTGTGTGTATGTTACCTAAAATATACTGCTTCAATTGGGCGATGTTACAAACCGTCAGTTAGTTTGACACGGACTCTAGTTAATGTACCTATATAACATTGGTGGCTCAAACCCGATATATTTAAAACATGACATTAATAAAATAATTTAATAAGCCTGTGGGTGTCCTATATCAAATCACAGAATAAAAATCCTCCGAAAAACACCGGAAACACAAATGCTTTTCCTTAGGAAAAAATACCCATACTACAACATTTCCGAAAGATATTTTAGGTGATTGAATCAATATTTTTAAAATGTTAAATAAATACATCATAATTACTTTTGTTATAAATATAATATACTGATAATTAATTAGTTAATATTTAAAATTAAATATCGTATAAGTATAACAATTATAATTAAACATTAAAAATCAAACTTTAACAAAATAAAAGTAAATACAAAATAAATTTAATAAAAGTTAAAAAACCAACCTACAAACTGTTTAAAATAAACATTGAATACAATTTAATGTACTTTTATTTATTTTATATTATAATTTTCATACAAAAATAAGATGTATAATTCTATAAAAAAAAATTAATTAATTATTGTTACTCCCATATAGCTCTTTAAAAAATAAAAAACTGATAAAATGTAATTGAATACCTATTTAGTACCTATATTATATTGAAATTATTATTTTTTCATGTTTTAATTTAGGTATCGAAATACTTGTTTTTTGTGAATTTTCATTGGAGGATTTTTATTCTGACTACCCATTTTTTCTGTACCCCTTTGTCTGAGTAAGGTGATAACCTCAAATAATTAATTTAATAACTTCATAATATAAAAGTTATTAACAGTTGCATAAATTGAGTATTCCTATAATCATGCTGTTGATAATGTCCAATGGTTGACGTAGATAATGTTAGTCTTCACTGAATAAATATTAATTTCTAATTGGTAATTAGTAATTGCTTATTAGTATGGCTAAGTTACATTATTCAATAGCTCATTTATCTTCACAAAAGTATTCTTATTTTTCTTGTATATGACCATTAAGATTTTACTGACCAACATATTGCCTTCCATTCTTCTCTATTCATTGCTAGCTCCTGCCATATCTTCCCAGGTCTACAGTTTTCGACATCACCTTTTACCTGATCTTCCCATCTTTTCTTTGGACGTCCTAAGGGTCTCTTTCCCTCTAGCATGCTATCTTGAATAGTTTGAATCCAACTAATCCAAGTTCCTTCTTTTCTCCAAACATGACCCTCCCATTGGACACGTCTTTTTCTGATTTCCCCCAAAAAGTCTGGCATTTTATATAGCTGTTTAAGATTGTCATTATCTATAAATAACAAATAATAAAACTAAGTATAATTAATTATACTACCTAGCATACTCTATTCATTATAATAACCGTGCTTAGTGACTAGTTTTCATTAGTGGCTATCAAGCAATACCTGTATGTCATCTAACCAAGTCTAACATCTGTATGCCTGGTGCTTGTTATGTAGCGAAGGGCTCCAATTCACAAGTTGATCACTGAATTGTTTCTCAACCTGCATGGAGTATATAACAATTATTAACAATATTTTAATTTTTATAATATTAATATAGGATGTTAATAAATTATCATTATATTTGAAATTGGATTTAAATTTTAAACTGTCTACTAAAAGCATAAAAATATTATTAGTACTTCTTGGCTTGCTAAAAAAAGAGGAACTCTAGTGCTATCTAAATGATCCTGATAATATAATATATATTGGTATTAAGGGGACGTTACAGTGACATTTGTTGTCTCCGTCTTACAAGTGCATAACATGGCAAATTTTACGCTCAGCAAAACACGTTTATCTCCCGTTAGCTTAAAAATTAGACGGTATTGATCTCTTATAAAATTTAAAGGTAAGATTATTATATAGACAATGTCATAGGCTTTTTATTATATTTTAATTTTAAAAGCCAGTTATGAGTATTTTAAGATGTACAAACAGTTTACAATTTTAAAATACATATAACTCGCTTTAAAATTAAATTATAATAAAAAGCCTCTAACATTGTCTAGATAATTATCTTGCCTCTAAATTTTATAAGAGGTCAATTCGCTCTAATTTTTAAACTAACTGGAGATAAACGTGTTTTGCTGAGCGTAAAATTTTCTATGTTACGCACTTGTAAGACAGAGAAAACAAATGTATGATTACTAGGTATAATAATAAGCCTTTATAGATTTTACAGTTTGATAATTAAACCAAATTAAAATTAGCGACATCCTAAATTATGTAAATTACAATTTGTATTAATAATATTTCTTTATACTAATTTTGTTTCTTTTAAATGTGTATAGTTTAAATATAAATATATTTATTTAAAATTTAAAAAAGTATTTATGCCTATGACATTGCATTGTCAGTGACTAATGTTTATTAGTGATCTAATAATATATTAGTAAGTAACATACATTGAACAGATAATTAAATACAGGTTTTCAATCATCTTCAAGCCTTGATGTATAAAATGCTTATTTCCTTGAACTAAACCATGGATTTTTATAAGACAAATATTCAACTTATATTAAGTAGAGTATGCATTCTACCTGTCTGCAACCTATACTACGTTCAGTAAGACAATTAATGTGTGCTAAAACTAAAGCTGTATCAAAGTCCCCTACAACAGCACCAACTGCTTTGTAATTTTTTTCCCCACTAGTAAGAAAATATAATATTAATTGTAATAATATCATTATTATGTTGCCATAAAGTATATTTGTTACGTAGTATATTATATTGGTTTCAGAAATATTACCATCACAGTTATATTTTAACTTTATCAAACACTCATTATTCATTTAATTATTTATCAGATTTCTAATTTATTAGAACTCTAATGTCTGAATCATTGGTAATTAAAAATGTTTATAAATCACCTATCTATCTAATTTATTAATAAGGTTAGGAGGATAAAGTAATATAAATTTAAATACAATTTTACTAAAAATTTACTAAATATTGATAACCAACTTTATTTTTGTAGTTGAAATTAATATTATGAATGAAAATTGAATAATGAATGTAAATATACCTAATTTTTTTCTATGTATGCTTTGTAAATTTAAACTTGTTCATACTCAAATATTTATTCATATAAAATTGTCAAATGTTATATTATCATATAAAGTTATAATGTTATAAAGACATCAATGGATATGAGCCCACAAAGCCACAATTCATAATATTTACTTATTAAGTTCCCATTAGCTATTACTTATTAATATTTAATACAGTTATTGTATAATTATCATGAATTGTTACCATTTCGAATTATATATTATAATTTTATTACAAAATACAATGTACCTACCTTACCTATACTAGTGTATAATACATTTATACATTCATAAATCATTGTTATTCAAATTTAATAGATTTTTAAAATAATCTAGCTGTAACATACAAATCTTATATACATATATATATATATATATATATATAATATTTACCACTTATACCTAAGTAGAAACATTATAGTAGTTTTTTTCTAATTTTCTAATTTTTTTTTTTATAAACATAACTTATTAAATGAAGTCTGGTAAAGTTAAAAGTATTTGTTAACTTAATTTAAACTTAATTGGTGTATTAAAAATGTCTGTTTACTTAACTTTTAATTTAATTTAAAAAAAAAAACTACTCAGCTTAATTTAACCGAGTTAAAAAATATCATTAACTTGCCAGCCTTGAATATAAGTATTGAACATTTTGGCAATATACTTATCTGAAGTTTATATTATAATATGTTAATTTGTTGATAATAATTGATAATAATTGGTGATTGTAGGTAATAAAGTTTATGTACAATAAGTAAGGCAATAACCATTAAGAAAGTAAATTTGTACATACCTTATATCTATTGTTTTAATCTCTAAAATGGAGCTTCATTAGTTTTTTTTATATATAGGTAATGCATTATGATAGAAATTATTTTTCCTAGGTATATAAAAAAACATGAATATCATATTTCTGATATAATTTTAATAAAGTGTTTAAAATTTGCTAACCAAATTATAATAGTGTGAATACTATTGTCGATTATAGAAATTTTTTTGTAAAATATGATGTAAAAAAGAAAAGTTTAATAATTAAAAAAAAAGTCCTTAAAAAATGTACCTTAAAAGTAAAACATTCTCCATAAAATATACTTATTGTAAATCTCTACTAATGTACTATGTAAACGTGTATCTAAGTAACATATTTAAGTAAGTTGATAAAGGAGTAGACTTCGTACATCATTAATTATGATAGCCACTATATTTATATAATATTATTAAAAACCTATCCGGATGTTTACAATTAAAAAAAAAGAATTATTTATTGAATATATTTAATTTTATATAATTCAGTTATTTTTACTAATGCTAATGAACAGAATTGATTATGAAATATAAATTATTATATTGGATTTTTAACTAATTGTAATTGTTTATGTAAGTTAACTAACTTTAATAATGTTTTCTTTAATACTTAATATTGAGGGTAATTATTATAACTATACATAATAAAACAAACTATTTGAATTTAAAAGTTAAAAAATGCTTTTGAGTGACTTTCAATTAAAAAAGTGATAACTTCTACTTCTTAAAAAATATTTTATGCTTATAAATTGTTTTGCCTTATGCTGATAATCTATTAAGAAAATCGATAAATAACCTAAATGGTTTGAAGTACTGCCCATGCTACGATTTTTGATCTTTTAAAGTGTTACAGTACCTATGATAATGTTTGAGCATATTATCTATTAAAAAATGGTTCACAGAATAAAATATAATTTTAAAAATAAAATAATACATACTTAGCTAAGAATTTAAAACAAGTGATTATTTAATTGTTTTGAAATAAATAATCACTTACTATTGTAGAACCAAATAAAACGATCACTATGATATTCTTTTGCATAAAATAAAATATTTTATAGAATTATTAACTGATTTAGGTATTGTATTGTTGTCATTGCTCAGAAGTACTTATAAGTTATACTGATACTGTATAATATTTTTGTGTACTATTACTGATATTTAATTTTATGCTACATAATTTTCAATAGTTATTACTTATTATCAAACAACATATTTCAGTAACATTTTTATTTGTGACCTTTTTAAGTTGGATGTGTTGAGCTCAATACAACAATAGACAATAGTATTTGTCATATAGAAAAGTTGTGCTGTGTAATAGTATTAGATATGTAAATATGGTTTATTTACATGCTCATATTTTTTTTAAATATTATTTAGTACCTACCATAAATTAATTTAAACACAACTGTATTGTTGTACTAAAGCTAAATAAAAACAGCTAAACATTGTTCTTTGTTTTCGTATTAAATAGGTATGTAAGATTGTTGATATTTTAAAAATTATTTTATTTCAAGAATTCTCCTGTAACTCTGAAAGAAATATGGTTATTCAGTTACTGAAAACTTATGTAAATGTAATGAAGAATGAACAGATAGATTAGATAGGCTAAGCCTCAGCTGTGTAGGTAAAATTGTTGTTAGTATTGCTCTTAAGTCTTATAATATTACCTGGTATCTAATATGTCATTCAGTTTATTAGAAGCTCTTACTGATTCATCCTTTTATTGATAATTATGTCACACAAATTCAGATAAAATAATATATTTTTCTCACCATTTCTATGAATTTAAAAATATTACAATATAAATATATTAATGTTGCCTAATTAATTTAAAGTTGGTTTTATATTACATTGAATTTAATGACCTATTTATTTATTAATAAGTATAATTTAATGATTATTCACCTATGAAATGAACTTTTAATTTTCTAGTTTTATGTGTTAGAATTTGAAAATATAGTGTTATTTTATTCTTAACTATTTGTATTTAATTTGAAATAAAGAACTAAGTAACTTGCAGACAATACAATAATAGAGTGTATAAAATATAATGTATACATTTTTAACCTTTTAACTAATTATCTCCACACACATTCTATTGGCTATGGTATTTTAAAATATATGTTATCAATACAAGTATGGTTTACAATTTATTATTATTGAAATTTCCAATCTCTTGCTTAACTTCATACTTATAATTTAAGTATCTAAATAGTAAATAATAAGTATTTATTTATGAAATTCTGTTTATCTTTATTATAAATATTTAGTATTTAATGTAAGTACATATTTACATATAATTGTCATTTTGTCACCTGTAGAAAAACTGATTAAATTACTGTTACATGATGATAAATAATTGCAATATTATGTGTTCTTATATTTATAATAATAATAATTATTATTATTAATAAAAAATTAATTGGAAACTACACAATATAGGTCAATAGGTATAATATTACTACAATTATTGTTATGAAACAAATACTTCTGATGAAATTATATAAATTAATAAAGTTTAACTATAATTGTTAAGATGTTTTACTTTATTTTCTAGAAGTAAGAATAGTTAGTTGTTGGGTGTTAATTTAAAAGTCAGCTTACATTCAAACAAAATGTTAACAAAAAAAAAAATGTAGAATTTCCTTAAAATAAATAATCTTTAGGTGATTGGTGAAACTAAGTGATAACTTAGTTTTATTGTACCTATTATAATTCATTTTATGACATGTTTCTACTCATAAACCAATTCACTATTTCGTTCAGGCATTTGCATTAGATTTGGTACCTACTTAGTTATTCTATTTATTGAACTTAAAACCTCGGTAATAATGTTCATTAGTTTGGTAGTAAACTTATTTATATATACATGTGTATAAACTGATTTTATCAATTTAAATGTTTTTTTTTTTTTGTTACCAATACCACTTATCAATAAAAATTATTATTTGTATTGTGTGTTTATTATATTTTGTTTTTTTCTAGAAGGTGTATCAAAAAATGAATCCTATCAAAAATATACATGCGAAGCTTTAGATTTCAAAGGTGAAGCAGTAGCATTTAAAGCAACATCGTCTGGAATTTTAGAAATTTTAAAACATTGTATTGAAGTATGTTTTAAACAGAAAATAACATTTACCTATTACATTTTTAAATATCTAATTTTTTTCAGGTTATGAATCAAAGAGAGACAGCTTGGGAATCTATGTTGGAGAAAGAAATAAACAACCGGAAAGATTTAGAAGAAGTAGTTCGGACATTATCTCTAGTTGATGGGCTCACAGATCAGGAGAGAGCCCAAGTACTTGCTGGAGCTGATTTAACTGTATGTATAATTATTAATTATTTATCTGTAGGTTTTCCTCTATCTCAATATAAATCATCCAATTTCATTATATGTAAAAATACTCTAACTATATATTATAGTTAATAGGTATTAATAAATTAATTCAAGATCATCATAAATATAAGTTCTTAAAAAAATTATCTATAACAACTAATGTTTACAAAAATAAATGTATTGTTAAATGTTCCTAATGAACTTATGTTTTAACGAGGTCATATTTACTGAACTGGTCATAGTACAAATATTATATTATCAATATAATATAATAAAAGTAGATATGAAATAATATTAAGATAAAAAAATTTTGAATCGCTTCTATATTTTAGTAAATTATTAGTTATTACTTATAATCAGTACCTACCATTGACTTAACATTAAATGTTATAGTATAAATTTAACTATTTAATTTTTTTAAGTTGTCGGTTTTTGTGTTAAGTTCATAATGAGTTCTATTTCTAAAAAGGTAATATTATAAAATAAAATATTTAATACAATTTAACAATGCTTTTATGATTTAGGATTGAAATGAGTTTTTGCAACAAAAATTTAAGCATTTTCTCTGTTCTAAAAAGTATCTTCAGACAAAAAATAAATATATATCATGTAAAATCTATACATTCAGACTTTAAAATGTAGATAGTGTATAAACTATAAATAGTGAATTTTTAATTGTATATTTCTCATTAAAACTGTTTCAATATGTTGTTAAGTATTTTATTATTTATAAACTATTTAGGTTAACATAGGTTTATATATTGTATTAATTTTTTCATTAGCATTAATTTAAAAATAATGTGACTACATTTTTTAATTCTTATATTGCACCAACTTTCTAAGAAAAAAATGTAATAATACAATATTATTATTTATTTATTTATTTTAAAAAGTGTATTATTTGATCAAATTAAAAATGGTTTTTTGTGGCTTTTTTAAAATTAAAATTCAACTATAGTACCTGTTAGCCAAATAAACTAAATAGCTTGATCATAAATTATTTTAATATTTTTGTTTACAACTATTGTTTTCTCGGTTCAATAATAAATCATTTGTTCTATTTTACAGGAACATTCTACTTTGGCTGAAGATGAATTTTATGACGCTGTTGAATCATCCAATGATAATTCTGCCGAGGATGCTAAACAAAGAAAAGATCAGTTACTACAATGTACTAAAAATAATGTTCAAACAGCTCAGACCAATTGGGGTGAGCTGATAAGAGCTGCTGCCACAAATGCTTCTTTGAAACATACATATTGGCCAGAAGTAATGTCACTGTTTGATATTATACATTGATAAATTTGTATTTTAAATATTTTTGTACTAAATGTTAAATTAAAATTTAACCATACAATTGAGTTAATCTATAATGTTGTGTGTTAAGATCGAGCGAGTAGTTGCCGAGCAAATTAGATCAGCTCGTATGGGTCTTGGTAAAGGAGCTTGGCAGTTGTTTGTCGAAGATGGGGAAATGAAGATGTACCGAAGAGAAGTCGAAGAAGATGGATTAGTTGTTGATCCTCTGAAAGCAACTCATCAAGTGAAAGGAATAACAGGTCGAGAATTGTGTCATTACTTTTTTTATCCTGAATACAGATATGATTGGGAAGGTATTATAATATTTTAATTTATTCATTTTCTTACTAATATTTTAAACGCTTGAAGTTAAAATATTTTTTTTCCAGGTACATTAGAAACAATGAATGTCGTTGATAAAATTGCCGAAGACACTATATTATTCCATCAGATACATAAACGCATTTGGCCAGCAGCACAACGTGATGCTACGTTTTGGTCACATCTTACACATGTTCCTGATGAAGAGAATAAGTCTGAAGACAGTCCTCACATGTGGGCTACCGTCAATAGTTCAGTAGAATTACCATCACATCCTGTATGTTATTAACCTATTAAAAAAGTTCCTTGCGTTTCATTTAACTTTAATTTATTTTGTTCTTGATCGGTTTTAGAACTTTAACTTATTACGTTACTAAATTCAATATCATGTTTTATTAATTTTCAGCCTAATGGAGGTAAACAGGTTCGTATTTATCTGACTATTATTCTCATGGGTCAAACAATCATATCTCCCGCAGCGAAGGGCCGTGAGATAAAACGAGATGATATTACATGTAAAATTACTTATTGTGCTGTTGGTAAGAACATAATAATTTTATACTTACAATACTACACATTTCATTAGAATTATAATATAAAATATTGTCGCTTAGGTTTAAAAAGACAATTTTTACTAATAAGACTTTCAACTATAAAAAGTGTTCTGGGTTTTTGGAATTTTTAAATTTCTTTGTAATATCATATCAAATCAACCATATCTATATGTATATATTCAATTAAATACAACTTATTTATTTTGTAGATTTTTTCATTGGTATTAGTTTTAGGGAAACCATCGAAATGAAGAAATATTATATTTTCTTAGCCTAGTATACGACCCTACTACATTAACTTCTAAAAAGTTCCCGGTCTCATGGTACGGTTACCTCTACACTTTCAAATTAAGTACTACTTAACCTTATACTCACTGGACAATGTAGGTGCGGACGCATGGTTTTATTACATGGCATCTTAGAATGTTTAAAATGTATTTCTTCATTTTATGTTACATAATATATAGTATTTTAGGACAAGCTCTTTTTGAGCATTTGAAAAATTGGAATAATAAATCGTTTTACATCCATCTTTAAATAATTTGAGTACTATAAAATTGTACAATATGTTAGACCTTGCAATTTAATTATGCCGAAAAGTTAAATTAGTTTTTTTTTAATCCATTATAAAGCATAGTAAAATACAATTGAATTCTATTAATATAAAATTGTGTGAATTGTTTCTTTTTACAGTAAACCCAGGCGGTTGGGCACCATCTTCTGTTCTCAGGGCTGTGTATAAACGAGAATATCCAAAATTTTTAAAACGTTTCACTGCTTATGTGTTAGAAAAAACAAAAAACTTGCCGATAAAACTTTGAACGATCATATCATTGAACTATTTTGTTCTGGAAATTGGTTAAATTCTTTCTTTATTTATTTATTGTTTAATTGCTAGTAATTTTTTCCATTCTTGCCTTAACTGTGTAGTGTGATATATTTGTATATATATTATATTATGTTAAAGATGAACCCGGGTTTCATAATAAACTATTATTAAAGTAATGAGTTGTTGTAAGCATATTATGTTGTGGCTTCCAAATTATACCAAAAACCATTTAAATTGTTTAGTTTATTTGATTTTTAAATTTTGAATATACAATTTTAATTGTAATCTGTTTTTTAAATATGTATTTACTACCTACTCAATGTAATATTAATATACATTTTTTTTTGAAAATTTTTTTTTTATAATATATACAATATAATACGTATATATTTAAACATGTAACGTCTTTGTAAACTGCTATTAACTATTCATGGTGTTTGTTACCATAGAAATGCTTGAACATGGCAATCATGCCAATGGATTAGATATAGGACTGAATATTGTTTTCTAGCTTATTTAATTAAATTTTTTGTTGTTCATTTTTATATTTATATTTCCTAAAAATGTGAATAATTTGCATAACTACTTTTTTGACTTGTGTGCCTTCATGATAACTGAAGATTTCTTAGTATGTAAAATGTATTTCCATCTTTGATATATAAAAAAAAAAAATTTAATTTGGATCACTTGGTATGAAAAATAACATTATTTTTGTCAATCTGATATAGGTGGTACCTACCAGTAAGTCCTACCTACGTTTTAAAGAATAAATTCACACGATGCGTTATCCAAAAAATCACGAGCGTGTATTTGTTTACCTCTGTATCGTTCCTTCACCCATAATATTATAGTAGGTATTATAGATTTTTATCGTCGTTTTGTATGTGGTTGGGGTTGTTGATGGCGATTATTATAGTGTCGTTGCCTAACAACCCGCACGCCCGATAATAACTGTACGTCTGTGCATAGGTACCTGTAAAAGTTGTTGCCGTCTCTGCAGCTCGACCGCGCGTCTTCAGCGACATGGCCAATAACAATAAGCTGGATTTGGTCACTTCGGATTTGTTCAACGACCAAGTCACTCTCGGTCTGTTGACCGTTCTCGGTGAGTTTCGAAAGCCTGCAAAGCATTAAAATACGATTTCCTATCGTTATAACTTATATTTAATTGTCGCTATGGCATTCGCTCTTGTTCGCGGTCGGGCGGTCCCACTCGGACATAATGTTATGACACCCACCGATTTTTACGCGTAGGTGTGCTCCCCACTGTCGATTCATATGTATTAATTATGCGTATAGTCTTTTGACACTGCAATCGTTGATATGTTAGCTTCAGTGGCATATATGTAAATTTTACTGTAATAGTATATATTACGTAACCAAGATACGTATACCCTGGATATAATATTATACGGTAGCAATATCATACTGTGGGACAGCCTATAGCTCAAGCGGTGCATACTAGTTACATTGATTAATTAATACACTATAATAATATACGAATTGCCTTCTGGCCCTCCCGGCCTCCTATAGTCCCATCCTTATCGTAAACATAAACTAGTTGCCTCCCTGGCACGGATCCAAAGCAAAGATCTGGGAGAGGACACAACAATTTTTTTACAACACATACAATTACTATACCTATAGGTACACTTCTTTCTTAATTTAAAACTGTTCATACTGCACAATATTGAATGCACAGTCCACAGTAATGTATATAATATTGTATTATAAATATTATTATTATATTAGAATATAATAATATCAGGATCTATAGAATTATAAAAAAATTGGAAAATAATATGTCGTGGTTGGGGGGGGGGGGAGGCTGGGTCCCTAGCCACCCTGGATCCTTTCCTATTACCTCTAATATATCTTAACTGGGTACACTATTCCTAAACATTTTTAATCATAAAAATAATTATAAATTTGTATGTTTGTTTGTAACCACTTATATAGGTTATGTGATTTGTAATATACCTACCTAAAATAGGGTTCGTGTTCACCAAAATTTTAAGAACCGCAGAATATTCATGTCTCATATTATATATCGATTATCGACTCTATAACAAAATACATTAATGCTGATTTAAATTTTAGATTTTAAAAAAGGTGGGCAAGTGGGTGTCCATCTGCTGTACAGTAGGTTACAAGTGGGTCACTGTATAATGGATGATATTAAATTTGAATTCAACGATATAATATCATTGTATAAGAAAAACGATTCTGAGCGGAGACGGTATGTCAGTCTAGGTATAAGACATATTATTATATAGGTACATATTTATGGTACTAAACCAAAATTTGACCTATAATAGGTATCTATTATAAATTCCAAATTAATCATATCACAATATCCATTAACTAGGTACTTATAACGCGTTATACATCAACAAAAACCGTGATACTATCATAGATATATAATAGTACACTTTAGAAGTTTCAAGTACTCACGAATAACATTATTCAATCACAACAAAAAAACTAAAATAGTTATTCTAGGTTTTTAATATGTGATTTCGACCAAATTTGAATTTAAAATGTCTGTAAAAAATAACTGTGTTCATATATTTTTTAGATTTTTGGTTACAGTATGAACTATTTATGAGAACCTTTGTTTTAAATTTGCAATCCTTAGCTATAAAAACTGAACATTTTATAATTTATTAATTACAATGATTGATTTTCGAGATTTTGATAAATTTTGTCAAAATTCGATCTTTAAATGCTTATAAAAAAAAACTGTGCCTATGTATTTTTAATATTTTTCAACTGATATTGTAAAAATATCTCAGGAGCCTTGTATTAAATTTTTACACTTTTTGGCCCAACAGATAACATTTTATTGATATTTATAGCAAAAAAAACTAAAAAAATTGAAAACTGAAAATGTCCGTAAATAGCTTAAAAAGAGTCAAAATATTTTCAAAATTGTATGGTGTATAGGAAATGCTAATTTAAACATTCAGTGAAATTTTCATGTATCTACAGTTCTTCGTTTTTGAATTGCAACAAAATAAGGAAATCGCTACATGAGAAATCGAGTGAATATCCAATGTTGTAAAAATTTGAATTTCAAACGCTCATAAAAATTTAATTTGACTTTCTTATAGACATTTTTTTTTTTTGATAAAGGTAGATAATCTTATAAGGAATCTTGTATTACATTTTCAAATCTTAGATTTAAAAAGAAATTTTTTTACGAATTCTTAACTCAAAATAATTTGCTAATTTTCGTGATTTTTCCATATTTTGTCAATTTTTGAACTTTAAATGTTAATAAAAAAAAATTGTGACTAAGGATTTTTAATATTTTTCATCTGCCTTTGAAACAATATACTAGGAGCATTCTATTAAATTTTCAAGCTTTCGCAACCTACAAATAAAATTGTATTGATATTTTTAGAAAAAAAGCTAAAAAATAAATGGAAAATGAAAATGTCCCTAAACAGTTCAAAATAAATCAAAATATTTTGAAAATGTTATCGTGTATATAAAATACAAATATAAACAACCAGTGAAAATTTCAAGTTTATACGTTCATTTCTTTTAGAGTTACACCAAAAACCAAAATCGATTTTTTGGAAAACTGATTTTGCGTAAAAATTCCCGTTTTTTCCTTAATTTTTATGTTGTTTTTCCCGGCGCTTGTGAAAACTACTAGGAAATTTTTACTTTTGACCCCCCAAAGTACCAACTAGATTCACTTTCCTATCAGAAAAGCTACTGTTGAAGAAAATCCAAGCACTTTTACTGTCCTAAAACGTGATGACAGACACAAAAAAAAATAAAAAAACACATAGCATTGTAAAATCAATACATTCATCGTTTCACTCAGAATCTAAAAAACTTAAATTTTTTACCCTAATAGTAAAACATATAGGTAGGTACCTAGGTAGTCAATAGACGCAAAAAGTGAATGGAAAACATTTTTATTGACTTAAGGGGCCTGCACGCGACCTGTTTTTTTGCTCAAAAACATGCCTTACAGGAAAAACTCTCACGCCTCGTAGATTGGTCCGATTTCCGTAATTTTTTTTTTGTTAGATAGAGGAAGACTTCTTACAGGGCGCATTGGACTTGGATTTTCAACATTATTTTTCTAAGTCTTATGTTACAAGTTTGAATTTAATCAATTTTTACAACTTTTTAGTTTTTGTATTATTTTTTGTTTTTAGCGACTTAATCAAAAATCGAAGTCCAATGCGCCCTGTAAAAAATATTCCTCTATCTAACAAAAAAAAAATTACGGAAATCGGACCAATCTACGAGGTGTGAGAGTTTTTCCTGTAAACTGTGTTTTGACCGATATAATACACCCTATCAACCCCCCCTAAATAGGTATTGGGTAGTAGATTAGTGGAAAAGTCTTATAATTGAGGTGGCAACTAAAATATAAAATTTAATTTTCAAATTTTATAGAATTGCGGAAAATTTGAAAAATCGCGAGCAGGCCCCTTAACATATTTTTACTTTTTTGTGTAGTACCTACCTATGCAATCTAATATTCTAATAGATAGGTAACCAGGCAACCAGCTATTCATCTAATATTATGTTTTCTACGCAATACCAAATAATATATTTTATATTACCTACATCTTTGATTACCCAAAAAATATTTTGTACCTAGACCTTGGTGTATATTTACAGATATTTGAATATTGAATCGTAACAATATTTTTATTTTATAAGATACTTTAGGTATATATAGAATAGATATATATCTACTTGACTACTTATGTATTACATAATAATTATTACTATGGATGTCAACATTATATGTGAAAACACTAAAAATGGATCTAAGATGAAATATTATATTGTTCAAAAATTACATGTTCATAGATCGCATACCTAAAATAGTATCAAGATTATGGTATCAATGGCAAGAATGGAGCTAGAAAAAATTAATTTTAAAAATAACCAAAAATTAACATATCAGTGATAAAATGTATTTATTAATTAAAAATTACTTATCAATTAATTTAAATAAATGCTGTAAGATTATCTAACTATCTACATTCTACATATAATTCATAAATAATTTTTACATTCCTACTTGTAATCGGATAGTGAAACAAAAAGTTGAACAATTAAAATATATTGCCTCACCCCGACAAATTCCTACGCCCTGCCGGCTCCCTTGGTATAGCCTAAACCAGCGGTTCTTAACCTTTTGTAGATCGCGGACCCCTGATGAAAGAGTTATTAGAAATCGCGGACTCCCTTACCAATTTTTTTACAAAACATCTCATGTTATCATAACCAAAATTATAATAATTATTTTATATTAAAAATTACATTACTAGACAACAAAACATACACATTTCCAATTATTTATTTACAATTAATTTTTTATAAAAATGTAATATAAAACTATAATTGAGTACGATCAGGCCCGGCGCGAGGGTAAGGCGACTCAGGCGGTCGCCTAGGGCGCCATTTTCAGAGGGGCGCCGAAATTGTTTTTTACAATTTTGCACACTTTTGTCAGTAATTTTTTTTATTAAATATAAAATACCTACCTAAAACTTTGTACTGAAATATAGATAATTATTATTATGGTTATTCTGTTTAGCGTACTAACGTAAAATGTTTATCTTATAATAATATTGTTCTATAAATATAAAAATTCATGAATATTTGTTATCGTTTAATCGGGATCGCGTTGAGCCGTTGTGACTCGTGACTACGTCGCGTAATATGTTAAAAAGTGCTTTAGAGTTTATTAAGAACTATAGAGATCAATTTGATCAGATTTTGGTCAAAGCAAAAGCAATAGCAGATGAACTAGGGGTGGATTCTGAAATAAAAGTAGTTCAGAAGCGTATAAAAAAAAAAACTTTGATTATGAGCGTTCAGATGATAGGTACTGATCATAGAACTGCAGTAGAAAAATTTAAACATGAATTTTTTTACACATTAATGGACGTTGTTACATCATTGACAGATCGTTTTGAAATTTTAAAGATATATGTGGATTTATGGAATTTTTTGTACGATTTAAAAAATGCACCTGAAAATGAAAATGAATTATTGAAACATTGTATGGATTTACACTATCACCTTAAAGATGGATCTGACTATCTGACTCTGATATTGATGGTGTCGAATTATGCACAGAGATTGTGAACATCAAGCAATTGTTAATTTCTTGTTTGGACGTAAGTTCACCTCTTAATATTCTTCAATACATTTTTGACTATGAACTCCAAGACATATTTCCAAATCTTTGGATTGCTTTAAGATTATTATTGACGCTACCAGTGACAGTAGCTAGTGGTGAGTGAAGTTTCTCAAAATTAAAACTCATAAAAACATACTTGCGATCTACTATGGCTAATGAACGTTTAGTCTCACTATCGGTTTTATCTATAGAAAACGAAATAGCTGAGGAAATTGATTTTTCTACAATTATACGGAGTTTTGCCGAGAGAAAATCAAGAAAGGTGTTGATCGATAACAAATTTAAATAAATATTTTATTTATGTTATGTTTTATTGTACACTCTATTTCCATTTATTATTAATTTCTGTATAATTTTTTTTTTTAGTAGTATGTAGGTATTTTATATTTATATGTGAATATTATACCTATTACATTATATTTCGTCATAATATGTTATTTTTTTTTTAATTAAGACGATAACAAATATTGTACAAGTTAAGCATTATATATCATTTTTCCCTATTTCTGTCCATGAATAACATTTTTTCCGAATATTATAATATTATTGGTTGTATGAAAAAAACGCCAGTTGGCATTTTGGCCTGGGGCGTCATTTAGCCTTGCGCCGGGTCTGAGTACGATACTACGATCGATCAACTGCAATTATAGTGGTAGTAAATATAAGACTGCCGAGACTACAGTGCTGTACGCATGTACATTTCGTATGAACAAGAAAAACTGATTACCCACTTAATAAATACTAATAATACAATTATTTGGTGTAGAATATCTACATAGGTATTATATATGAAAAAAATAATAATATACCAATAATATTGTTATAATACACTCTGTCACTTATTGATGTATGTTATGTGTTGAGGTTGCCGCGGACCCCCGACATGAGTATCGCGGACCCCCAAGGGGCCCCGGACCACAGGTTAAGAACCGCTGGCCTAAACTATATAGTATGCTGGTAAAACCAATATACACCTATATAACAGCACCTTGTTTTATATTTGGTCGTTTTTTCGGCGAAGTCAGGTTGTACCGCTATCGTGTGTTAAATGCGGTGCCGTGGCCGTCGATTTGACGATTTCTCGTTTGTTGCAGCGGGGTAAAGCTGAGCGCTCGTGACGAAACAGATTTTTAAATTATAATTTACCCACTTATTCCCGGTTTCATTTCTTTTGACTTGTTGCAGAAAACACTCCCGGAGTGAGAAACCTGACGGTCAAACAGAGTCTGCCGTGTGACAAGACCAAAATAAGCTTGTGGGAGCAGCGGAACGGGTGTCAGCTGCCGGATGACGTCAGGTCGTTTTACGCGTCGTGCGACGGGTTCAAGTTGACTTGGTCGTACAGAGTCGAAGGTATCTATCCCTAAAATACGGTTCACGATTGCGGCACTTAAAACTTTTTTGACCTGTAAAATCATAGACCGATTGCGCACCAAATAAAATATTATTTTCTTGTATAATACGTACAATTAGTGTACAACATTATAAACAATATACTATTATATTATAGGAACATAATATGTGTATTTTTTTAAACTATTAAAATACAATTTACAAATTTTAAAATATATTTGATATTTTGATCTTATTAAATTTGTATTTCAGCGTTTGTGTAAGTTGGTACCTCGTACCTATTATTACTATGTTAATTGATTTTTAAATATTATAAAATCAATGCTATTATGTAAAACTGTCACACCGCGTTCAAGTTCAGTTGGTCTCTAACGTTTTTTTCTTGTAGGGCACAAGCTTTATGACATAAATACATAATATTATAGTATATTTTATAATATTAAAGTTAGGTTAAACATTAATTTAAAAAAAAAATATATACATTTTATTACGTTATAAATATGGTCGAAGAAGGAATTTTAGTAGCTAATACGATTGAAAACTATAAATTTATAATTTATAATTATGTATAATAATTGTTATCAACCGTTTGAGAACTATATTTAGTACCTGCCTGGCTGCCTAATGGCTTAGATAAATAGAAAGAATCAAATTTGAAATGCATATAAACATTTTGATAATTTAGGAAAGTGGTTTAAGTCGTTTTTTGGACTACCTATAATTTTTATGTGATTAGGAAGTTTAAGTTATGAATTACCGAAAAATAAAAAATAAAAATTTTAAACATCAAAAGTAAATATAAATGTGATACAAAATGCAGTTAATTTATTGAAATATTCAGGATATTTTGGCTAACGCTATCCAGGAATTTACTCATTACCTATTTTAACTTACTTTGCACATTACCTACGTTCCTAAATTCCTAATCGCATCGTGTATGCGTCGGATTATTCAGGTCAAAAAATGAAAAATTTGCAATCGTTATGTATACTTATCTAGCTTTTAAAAAAATTCAATGATAGATACATAAGTTATATTCAGGGGAAATACAAAAACTATGCATTCATTCATAATATTATATGAGGACCATGGTATTACGTCATCATAATATGTACCTTTATTCACAATTTGTGTCATGGGAATAATAATTTATTATTTAGATAAAAATATAATAAATGCATTATGAATTGTATAATTAGATGAAAATAGTAGGTACTTACATATTTAGCTACTAGCTACGTATCTATCTTTTTTTTCTATTTATTACCAATGATTATAAGAGATATTTTATGTTTATTTCTCATCTTGTCACATTCGTGATACCAATATACGTATGCACCTTGCAGGCATCACGTCTGACGTGACGGCTGCTGCCGTCGGCGGAGCGTCTAACTTACCCATCGGAAACATCACCGTGAACCCGCTGTCCGATCTGGTCCGGCTGTGCGACGTCAAATCAGACACGGTCAACGTAAACGTGATGCGTGACCTGCAGCTGCTGGACCGGCTGTCCGACAGGAACACTCCGAACTTCACGGAGAACTCAAAGATATTCGAGCTAGACTCGAGCTTGGACGTGGGCCACGTGTGCCTGGTGTACCTGGACGGTCGGGTTGTGGCGTCGGCGTCTGCGGCGGCGAGCCGGCCGGAAGTGCATCCGCGTGAAGAGCCCTGCGGTGCGTCGGTCTGGCTGTTGGACACCACGTACCGCTGGCACTTGCTCGCCCCGAACTTCAGCAACTATTTCAGAAAGGCGCTGGTGCACATGGGCCTGCCCCACTGGCAACTAAAATTCACCGACATGGGACTCACGTCTATCGGCGAGGTTGGTTCGTGTAAATTATTACCCACCTATTATTTATTCTCAACCACGTTGATGTAATTTCTATTTTTATTTTACACTGTCCATATGATATTTGCAGTTTTATTATACTCAGATATTATATCTTATAGTCCATGATTTTGACTACCTACTTATTAAATTGTACAATATTGAACAAGTAATACAGAAATACAGAATATAACGGCTTTTGTTTGATTTTCAGTTTTTCATGAATTTGGTGGCCCCTCAACTGAACGTGACCGATCGAGTTCCTGTAATTGGCCAATTGGACGACGATGAACAGTCTACCACAGATAGCGCACCGCTAAACCACTTTGATCCTAGTATTTTAAAAACCACTTTCAAAATGTCCAAAAGTAAAAAAAATGCAATCAAATGAGAGTTCCAGCTTGAACTGAGTTATTTATTTGTATAACTGACAGTTAATATAATATAAAAAGTTTGAAAAAATGAATCATACAAGTTTAAAATAAAAACATTTATTTATTTTTGGAACAATCATATTAATATGGTTCCAACTATAAAAAGTTGCAGACACAAAAAATGAGCTCTGACGACTGACAGCCATGCTCTAAGTGCATGGTTGATAAATAGTTAGATTTAGTTTCATATCAAGGTATGTATAGTGTATACTAAGGTACATTTACTTATTTTTCGATTTATTATAGTAATTAATTGAGTTGTATAAATATTTTCGATAAATAGTTAATATCAGTACTCGGATGTCGTAAACTCGTAACTGCTGCCTTTCATATTGTCACCAGCATGCAGTAGTGCCAAAGTTTAAAAAAGTGTAAGTTAAGAATTAAAGCCTATTATACTCCCTGGCCCCTACGACCCGCCCTACATATTATTATATCTGTATATAGATACAAATTATTCAATATTGTAATTAGTATAATATATGATACGATAAATATTAGTTATGCTCATTTGGACATTTTACTGGGTCCTAAAAAATATGTCACCCACTCACCTAATAACCCATTTACCCACTCATCTATGATGATTCTGAAGACTCAACCAGAGGCAGGTTTTCACACACGCTCTTGTGTCGTGGTGGTTATCGAATCTCCGAGATATTTTCTCCCGTCAACCCATCCACCACAACGATCAGCGGACATGACAGTTTATCTCGTCGCATAGTCGTCATTACTCGTTACATTACTAAATATAATATCTATTTTGTCATAAGCGTTTGGAGTCTAGACTTCTGGTCTCTGGCGGATATATTTATTTATTGCTATGTACATCGTCTGTTGACCCGTGTGCGTCGGTCATTGTGTGTATACCGTAAATCATAATGTGCAACTTTAAGGTGTATATAACTTTTACGCTTTGCCGTAATTGTACAAGCATTAAACAGCACTAGACAGTGCATTCCGTGTGTCGCAGTTTTGTTGTTATTTGCCCGGAGTGCCGTCGACGCGCTTTCGGCCTTTTAACATCGGTTATTCACCTGTTACCAGCATTGGGATCGTCATTCGTCAGGGATGGCCAGTGGCTTGGATAAATTTATTTCATGTATCTTGTATCTATTGACATTTGTTAATTTTATCTAGCATCTTGCGTCTAGATTCTGGGATACCTAATCTTTTGATTTTATTATAATGATGTCACTACTTTTTAACTGATTTATTTTCTGAGAACTATAATGTATCACAAAATTTCTTTTATTTTTACTTACGGGGTTTTGCTTCTTTACCAAAATACATATAAACAATACATATAGTTCAAATTACAAATACA